AGGAATGTAACTACCTGGATAGTAGTGTAGCAGGATTTAAAAAAAAAAAGATGATTTAGATCTAAAAATGCAATTTGCAATTGCAGAGTCCAAATTTCACATAACGAAACAGCTCCAATTCCCCTTCTGTTTACTTTCCAGTGGCTCTGAAAAGAGTCTTTAGCAAGCTTCATTTTACAATAGCAGAATACAGAGACCTCACCGCAGAGGAAATCCGTAAGACTGTGAAGACCTACCAGCGTGAAGACCACAAGGACAAAGACTGCTTTGTTTGCTGTATCCTGTCTCATGGGAAAAAAGGCATTATATATGGTGTTGATGGGCAGGAAGTACCTATCCAGGAACTGACCACTTCTTTCACTGGACAGAATTGCCACTCGCTTGCTGGAAAACCAAAAGTCTTTTTTGTTCAGGCCTGCCAAGGTGATGCTTGCCAGAAAGGTGTGACCATTGAAACAGATTCTGGAGAGCAAGATTCTTCTGTAGAAACAGATGCAAGATTTCAGCTCGACTGCATCCCTGCAGAGGCAGACTTCCTCTTGGGCATGGCTACCCTGCAAGATTACGTTTCCTTCAGAAGCCCAAGGCAGGGGACCTGGTACATACAGGCGTTGTGCCAGCACTTGGAGTACAGCTGTCCTCGGTAACTATATTTCCATAAGTTGCTTTAGTTTGCCTCTGAATGACAGGACTTTGATTTGGATGCAGAGGTAGATGATAGGCAGTGGGAGTGCTCCTTCAGAGTGGAAACAGTAGTGTGGGACAGAGCAACACCATGCAGATTGTTCAAAGCAGTTTATCTAACTGCTTTGAAGTCTGCTTAAAACAGGAGCCATTAGCATGATATATGAGAACACAGTAAATTTCCTGATGTTAACAGCGTCCCTAATACAAAATGTACTTTTGTTTTTGCAGAGGAGAAGATATTCTCACCATCCTGACAGCAGTCAATCAGGAGGTGAGCAGAAAGAGTTGCAAGCTAAATGCAGAGAAGCAGATGCCACAGCCCAGTTTTACATTGAGGAAAAAGCTCATCTTTCCTGTCAACTAAATGGGAAGGGACTGCATGGCAGAGAGCTGCAGCAGCCTGAAAGCGGCTGGTATCAGCCAAATTTGGTAAAACACAACAGACGTTCAGTGTCTGCTCTTACCACAACAGCAAACATTTTTATTGAAAATACAGTCGAGAAGCAAAAGCCTTAAGAAATTAGTGTTAATGCGTACAACACTTCATACTTGACAGCATTTCTGAGCTGGTCTCTGATTTGTGGCTTGCTACCTAAAATACACGCGGCCTCCTCTGTCAGCTGTACCCCACTGCTGTTGCTTTAGTAAGGTATCTTTCCAGTGCAAATTTTAAGACAACTGTTATGAAACCCTGTGTATTTTATGCCAAACTTTTGCAAAATAAGGGGGGAGGGGGAGTATGCTGCAAATCTTATAGGATGTAATCAGCTCACATCAGTGTGTTTTGTTACTTTTCTGCACCACTTAAAAATCATTCGTTTTTAATGTCTTCGTACACCTCAAGGAAGAGTCAAGCACTTGACCTCCAGCACCTCAGCAGGATGGGACTGTGACCTGCATTTCAGATTATCCTCTACACAGAGTAGTCTTAACAGTGAAAAACAGTTGCTCAGGTGCAGCTTCACATTCATCCTGCATTCACTCACTTTGCTAATCTTTGAGTCTCAATTCTCGGCACAGCAAAAGTCACTAAAGTACCCAGCACCTCAAAAACATTTTTTTATTGCCCCGTGACTAGTATGGACACAGAACTGTGAGTTTTAAAAGCTCTGAGTAGAAGTTGAAGCTGTGTTAGTCTCTCTGTTTTGTTTTGAATGAGGTGTTCACTCTGTTACACCAGAATGTTACAGCTTTCAGCAGTAGTAATGGTATCAGTGCAGGTGATAATTAACTGAACAGATAGATCTTCACTGGAGTTATTTTAAGATCCTGCATTCTTCCCTGGACTCACATGCTGAATACTTCTCTCTTTGGTACCAGTTTGTGTCTTCGAAGATAACGGCACAGAGATTATGGACTGTGAAAATGATTAGAATCTTAGCAGCTGGCAGATGCAGTAAGCAGTTACAGAAACGGGCAAATCCGTGCTTCCAAATTCTAGGAGTAATTTTTCAAGCTAGTTGTTATGTTTGTTTAGGGATTCATCATGAAACCAGTGAGGGCTGTGCCAAAGCAAAGACTTGTGAGGGAGGCTGAGCCACTAGCAGAATGAAACAGAAACAGGTTGTGGTTTAACCCCAGTGGGCAGCTTAGCCCCACATAGCCAGTTGCTCACTCCCCACCACTGGGGTGGAGGAGAGTGGAGGAAGGGTAAAAGTGTGAAAACCCGTGAGTAGAGATGGACAGTTTAAATAGGTAAAGCAAAAGCCATGCCCAAGCACAGCAAAAAAAAATGGAATTCATTCACTGCTTCCCAGTGGCAGGCAGGTGTTCCCAGGAAAGCAGGGCTCCATCACATGTAACAGTTACTTGGGATGACAAATGCTGTCACTCTGAACATCCTCCAACCTTCCTCCTCCTCCCTCCCCAGTTTTATTGCTAACCATGTCATCATATGGCATGGGACATCCCTTTGGTCAGTTGGGGTCAGCTGGCCCAGCTGTGTCTCCTCCCATCTTGTGCACCTCCAACCTCCTCACTGCCAGGGCAGTCTTAGAAGCAGAAAAGGCCTTGACACTGTGTAAGCACTGCTCAGCAATAAATCCATCTTATCAACACTATTTTCAGCACAATTCCAAAACATAGCACCATACTAACTCCTATGAAGAAAATTAACTATCCCAGCCAAAACCAGTACACAGGTTTTCTGTCTTTCCAATTCACTTGAAAATTTCTGCTAATAGCACAGTTTCTACGCACAGAGAGCTCAACTGCAAGAGTTACAGATATTTTTAAGTGCAGACTCCAGCCCACACAACAGGCCTTGCTTGTATTCAGTTCTCCATTGTATAAAATGCTAGTTAAAGGCCCTCGCTCCTGGGAGACTGTCAAAAGTCTTTCTTTTAGCAGTATGTCCAACTAAAAGGAAAACAAGAAAGGAGCTCAAGGCAGTTCCAAGTCTTGTGTGCAGAATCACTCCAGAATTTCTTTCCAGAATTCCTGTCCCATTAATTTCCAGTTTTCTCCAGGAAGCTCTCCTTGCACATTCCTCGGGAACACCTGAGCTTTTGTGGCTAGTTCTAGCTCTTTTCCTGCAGCTTCGAAGGGGTTACAACTCTCTTCCCTTACTACATCTCAAGTGCCAGAGAACAAGTGGTGGGCAAAACAAAACAAAACAAAAAAAAACCACCCCCCACACCTCCACAAACCCTTACGCACACTTAGCATGTACACTCTTACAAAGCAGCAGCCAGCTCCTCAGGACAGCTGAAATCTCTTGAGTTCAACAGGAACTTGTATATTGACATCAGCTTTCTTCATACACACTATGAACAGCTTTGATGCAGAGAGACCATGTAGCCAGAAATCCCAGTTACAACACTATCAAATGTTCCTCTGGTGCCATTTAGCTGCCTGTGGCTGTAATGCTTCTCCCCTGTGGGCCACAATTCTGTAACATCATTAGCCGACTGTAAGTTGGTAACGCGGGCCTTCAATGTGAGGACATGCAACTACACATGCAAACGTGTTAAGTACTTACGTGCATAAATACAACAAATATTAGGAAACAGTCTAAGTTACTTGCTAGTGAAGGAAACTTGGTCAACATCTATTGCAACCCAGATGCTGGTGTTCAGCTTGCAGCTTGATCCTGCTGAGCCATTTATAGGTGTGACAGAACAGCAGGAAGAGAATGTCTCCTCAAAATGTCCAGCTTATAAACTTCAGCATATGAAAAGTTGAGCTGAAAAGTGAGCTTCAGACTGACAAAAGTGCAAGCCCTTCTTATCTCAGAAAAAATAAGAAAGCTAAATAAATACAGGATACTTACCATATGGTAACAACAGTTCTCAAGTTCTTTGAGATGCCACACACAGAGACTACTAGAGAAACCACTTTCAGTAATTGTTAGACTAATTCAAGCAAGAACCTGTTAACTGCAAATCAGTGTTGTTCCCATTCTGTACCACTGAAGGAACTGAGTGTTTTCGGGAAAATGATCAGAACCTTCCAGCTGGAAACCTGAGTGCAGGGGCTTGCGCTGAAGGTGGTTTTCACAGGCTGACACGACTGTGCCAACAGAACTTACACTGAGACCTACACAAAGGGAGTACTCTTCAAGGGTAAGTAGCTTGGTTTCTCTACGCCCGTTTTATCACAAATATAGCGAGCTGGCATAACATCAGCTACTGAGATGGAAAAACAGCAGTGGTGTTGTTAGACAACAGTGTCATCTAACACTACAATGCTAGAGGAACATATTAGCTGCTCTTGTAAAATATAAAGGAAAAAAAAACCAACATACACAAAAAACCCAAAGTCAGGCTCACATTCAAATATTCTATACCGACGCTGATGACCTATTCATTCGTGAAGTTTTTAATTCTCAAGTAAAAGGCTTTTCAAACTGCAGAAGAAGGTACTCTGTAAGTGTCCTGTTCTACATTTAAGCGTCACGTTTACTGTGCAATCAGACTGCAGCTTGTGCTGCACATATGCCACTGCTTAAACACAACACTAAACACCCTAGCACAGCCTGATCAAGTTTTTAAATCAGTTTCTCGGGTCTTACAGCTACCACTTGTGCAGATACCAACTCACTAAGCTCACATACAGTATATCAATCACTAAACTTTAGGCAAGAAAGGCCTAATTTTAAGTAGTATAGAAGATGACATCTGGAACAAACCACACAAGATGACCAATATACGGAAAAATGGTGTGTTATACATGTTTATTATGAAATTTACATTCTACTATGAACCAACTATAAGTGCAAAAAGCAGATGAAAACAATACCATGAAGTTCCCAGACCATGCAAACATTGTGTGTAATCCCCTCATGTACCAGCCAAATGAGGCCCAAACCCGGTATTATTCTTCCATCTTTGCTGCTGTTTGACTCCAGCAAACTTTGAACTTAGCCCACAGGTATTTTGAGTGTGCAGCTCACTGAGTTTATCTAAAGCAGTGAAACTAGACTATAAATTTGTGCTTGTTTTAAGCCAATCTGAATAAAGGTAAATACTACCAGGATTTCCTTCTTTCTCTTGAAGCTTTCACAAGCATGGGTAAGTCTTTTCTTTCTAGCATCTGTTTTTGTCTCAAACCTGCAAGGTAACAGAACCTTTCCGAAATGCAATTCTCCATTCCTTCTAGTTCTGCCTCCTGCCCAATGAAGTCATGCTTGTGCAGGATTAAAAGATCTTGTGCAGGATCTCAGCAATCTTAGTCATACATGTTTGTCTCCTCTCTTACAGAAGGCAACAGAAGCCAGATCAGTTCCTAGAATGATGGCATATTTTAGTATGTTCTCAGAAACACATATGTTATTCAAAAAAGTTTATTTTCTAGTTTTTGGCATAAACCAGTAAACTTGGGAGAATAACCAATCTTCCCCGTTGCCGCAAGCTAGGCACATACAAAACGTGTGTCACCATCCAAAGGTATAAACAGATGACAGAATTTCAACAACACTGCACCATAGCATCAACCAACCCGATAAACACACAAACACAATAGTACACAGATCCTTCCATTTTCTTGTTGCCTTGTGTAAAATATCTGATGATACATCATCCTACAGAAAACCAACCAACCAACCAACCTCCTGACATGCTCATAGTATTGTTTGAACTGAACCAGTTTATATTGCTGGGCTATGGAATATGGAAGCGTCCCAAAGAGAAACATGCATTTAATTAGTGTGCTTTTAGATTAATTTTAACTGAAACCTGGTGTGCCAAAGGAATTCTGATTTAGTTGATTTGCTACTTCTGCTGATAACACAAAGCATGATCCAATAGCTGGAGTTATCTAATGAAGCTAGTCAGAAACACAGTGTAATACCTTCAAAAAAGTATCTTTAATTTACATGTATTCCTGTAATAAACACACATAAAATGGACATACTTTTGACATACTACACACTTCTCTGTTGATACCAAACTCTAATCTTTTGTTAATTCATTTCTGATGTTTCCCTAGAAGTTACAGAAATATAGAAATATACAGCAGACATACCAGTCTTAGTTCACTGGAGAGCAAAATTGCCTCCCCCCTCTCCTTTCACTCTCACCTTATTTAGCTATGCAAGACCCACGCACAGCGAAGTACATACAAACAAATACTTACATAAAGAAATATTTTTCATTTAAAAAAGAGATTTAACCCTTACATAGTATTTTAAATAAAATTCACCTTTTATAAGTGTAAGATTTTGCTTAGAGAGCAAAAGGCAACTCCAAGAGTTCCTGAATATTTTTGTGCGCTGCTGACAGAAAAGTTTCTGCTAAGAATCCCTGTGCAAGTTTGAAGTGGTTATTCCTTTTCCTTTTAAAAAACCCGACTGTTATATCAAAGGGTCATGACAAGATCTACAGAACTGCAAAAGCAGAAAGGCCACGTTACAAATTTCCCACAAACCAGGTTAACAGGCTTTCTTTTCCTTCCCCACTCCACTGAACCCTGCAGCAACAAAGGTGCTGATGATGGCAGATGCGCCTTACGGCAAATGTGAATCAGTGTAATTACACTGATGCTTCACACCACGCACCCAGACAGGCACCAGCTATGTCCCACAGACATTGTAACAAGCAAGGTAAACTTTGACCATTTTATCTAATTGTATGGAAACTAAACTTTAAAATAATTTTAAAATGTTGATAGGTAGAGTGAAAAATTACATAAAGATTAAAAACCTGTTTCCATTCAGGTCACTGAATCAGGTTGCTGATTACCACTGAGAATCAGATTTCTAAAATGGACTTCTGTTTTGAGATGGGAAGTCTGCCTCAGCTTTGTTCAGAATTAGGTTCAGAACCACTTGCCATCATCAAAACACAGGATTTCAATGCAGACATTGATTGATTGATTGATTGACATTCATTAAAATGCTACAAACAAAACTAGCTTTCATCTTCCTGTTTCTGAATATAGACTGGTAAATTTTGCTCCTAATGAAATCTTCTAAACAAAATCCTGCCTAGAATCAGAAATAAATGAATGAAAGGCATGAAATTTACTGCACAACTCTCTAAATACACATAATGTCTACCTGTCAAGAGTCAGGTTACTGAATTTTCGACACTTGTCTTGAAGCAAATGCTCTCCACTTATGTCAAATAAAAAGAAACACCGAATCAACCACCTTGGTTTTATTTCCTCTTTGCAACACTGAAATGTGCCTGAGATTTTTTGTATGTGTGCAAAAATACCCTCATTTAAAAAGATGGACAACACACTTTGGGAAGATTTCTTAGCTTGCAGTTTTCACCCTAATACATACTTTCCTGCTTCTTTATTCTTATGTATTGCACCTTCATCTGTGTGCTTCTGAAGCTCTGGAAAGAAATTAACTTCTGTTAATACCTCACCACCAACACAACTGCATTTTTTCAAAATACAAATCCTGACCACCAGTTTCTGTGTACGTAAACAGAAGTATTGTTTTCTCACATAGAGCTAAAAGTTCTCTCTCCTACTTCTCAAAGTGCGGAGGAGTTCAAAAGAGGACAGATTCTGAAATGGAAAATACAAGAATTAAAAAAAAAAAAAATCAAAGTTTTCATATTTGTTTCCTACAGAGAGGTACTTGGACCAATAATGCTGGTCAGACTGACTGTTATTTTGGTATTGCATTTAAATGATACAGCCTGACTGCTAGCTAGTAAAATACTATGGTCGTATGGTGGGCAAAAAATAGAACAGCACCTGAAAGACAGTTCTACACATACAGTTTAAAAGGTTAAAATACTAAGAACGTCTACAATGGTCTATTTTTGCCTAAGTGAAGACAGATGGTGAAGGGGGTCTCAAAACTAATCTTTGGTTTCTTCTTTCTTCCACAGAAGTCGTCTGCCTCAAATCCAAGCAATGTTCTTTTTCTCCTTAATCCCAATGCTTCTCTCTCCCACATCTTTAACATGCACGCACCTTCTCCAACTCTTCTGTAACACATCTCACTATGCCTGTAGTGGATGTTTATCCCTCATGTATTATTTACTAGGCTAGAAGTCAATCACTTTTCAGACCAGTCAGTCCTCCTGCAGGATATCCATTTTTGATGGCTGTGTGCAAACTGGAGCTCCCAATGCTCCAATCATGGCTGGAAGACTCTGGTTTCTTCTCAGCCCTGCCATTAAGTTGCCACCTGCATTTAAAAACACAGCCGAGTCCTGCCTCCGCAAGCTAACCTCTGGCCCCTGTGTCTCAGGGGCCTTGATCACCCTGGCAATACCCAGCCTCTTCAGTCTGTCCACTAGGTTCATCTTCAGCTGCCCTGCGTCTGGAACATTACGGGAGGGCTTTAGGCCATACATTTCTTGCAAAAATGTTTCTGCTGGTCGAGAAGCCAGGAAATTGTCTGAGTGATGCACTCGAGGCTCAAATGGTGGAGGTGAAGGACAAGGTGAATGCGAGGGAGAGTTTGGTGGAGTAGAAGGAATGGGGAGAGTTCGAGGGGGCTGTAGCAAAGGCAGCTTTTCTAATACGGGGCTATTGTAAACCTTGGCAGAGATGCCTCGTTCATGCAAAAGTTCAGCCAGACTGCTCGTGCTGCTGAAGGTAGTAGTTGAATCTCTTCTGTTGGTGAGAAATTCTCCAATACTAAGCCTGCAAGACATGGCTGGAGTGCTCACTACTGGGTTTCCAATACTGCTGCCAGTATTTCCCAGTGAAAATGGGGCACCCATGGAGCTGAAATAAAAGAAAAATGAAAGAGAGAAGATGCACGTTAGACATCTTTATACCTGCTCTGCTCTGTATTTGCCTTTTAGTATACAGAAGGCTCAAGAAAAAGTAAATTATTTCTATTAGCTGTGACAGTTTCAGCTTTAGTAGATTCAGAATTATTGTTCTGCAAAATATTTAGAAGATACTAGGCTGAAAGAGAGGCATTAAGAAGAGTGTGGCCAGCAGGTCGAGGGAGGTTCTCCTCCCCTTCTATTCTGCCCTAGTGAGGCCCCATCTGGAGCACTGTGTCCAGTTCTGGGCTCCCCAGTTCAAGGAAGATGAGGAGCTACTGCAGAGAGTCCAGTGCAGGGCTACGAGTATAATGAGGGGACTGGAGCATCTCTCCTACAAGCAAAGGCTGAGGGAGCTGGGCTTGTTTAGCCTGGAGAAGGCTGAGAGGGGACCTTATAAATGCCTATAAACATCTTAAGGGTGGGTGTCAGGAGGATGGGGCCAGACTCTTTTCAGTGGTGCCCAGCGACAGGACAAGGGGCAACGGGCACAAACCAGGGGGGTTGGACTAGATGATCCACGGAGGTCCCTTCCAACCCCTACCATTCTGTGATTCTGTTTTGGTGTATGCACCAATGAATTTACCCTGTGGTCATCTATACTGTATTAGATAGGGCATCAACATAGCTCTCCAGTAATGCTTTAATTTAAAAAAAATTATGACACAATTGGGGAAAAAATTATGGTAGTATCAATTTTTTTTTAACAAAAGGAATATGATACAAGGCATTTTCTATTTAAGAGTATTAATTTACTTCCTTTAAGTTACCCTAACCTGTTTTAACTCTCATTCTAGAGAATTTCAGGTTTCCCCATCGTAATTACAACTATTTGTACGAGTAATATCCTACATGTTGCCTAGCTGTCTTGGTATTTTTTAAAACTGGTCCATACATCAAAAGCCAAAAAGCAACTATTTAATCCTATGCAGCAACATTTAGGATGTCAGCAGTCATCATACCTGGGAGTAACTTGAATGACATCAGATGGGTGAAGGATCCTACAGGTAGTAAAGGTAAACGTGGAATTTGTGGAAGACAGACACTTCCCTGGATTTGAGGCTGCAATGTGTAGAATTTACATCCATTGAGGGTAAAAATAAAGAGAGATAAGGACTAATCAAAGCAAAGTTTAAGACAATGTTATTATCACTGCTATTTTAAGTAAAGAACAAACACAGTAAAGACAGCATTGTCGCAAGGTCAAATACTTCCCACTGAGAAAAAGACACTGCAAAATAAAAAGAGGAAAAACCACTAACCATGTGTCTTACCAGTGAGTGGTACTGCTGCTGAAGTAATAGGTGGCAAGAAAATCCCTGCCACTGGCTTTGCCACTGTACATTTCTTCTCCTCTGGGAAGGACTGTTGCACTTGAAATGTTATACCTCCTTCACCTTCTTCCCCATCATCCTCCTCCAAATCAGAGATGTGGTACACAGTATCATGAGACAAAGGGATAAAACCTTTTGTAACAACACCTGGTCTTGGGTCAAGAATGGTGCCTAGGTTGGGCTGAGCAAGCTGCTGCCAGTGAAAAAGGGTCTGAGATCCTGGTGTGACAAAAGAAAAGAGTCTCAGACAGCAAATACCTACTACTGCATGGAGTTACAATAATTTATGATCAAAACAACTCCAGCCAACTGGTGCTGACAGTGTGATACACATGATGCACTTGGATGGCAACACCAAGAAAAAGGCCTAACACTTAATGCTGTGTAAGAAAGCCAGGTAGAAAGTGATACTGAGGAGCTAGCTGTTATGTAGCCTACCAAATACTCTTTGAACTCCTGAACAGATGCTTTGTTTCTTTAAGAAACTACTTCCTCTTACTGCATATCATACCTAGCTATACACACAGCAACAATGATTTAGTTAGCAAACTAACGTAAAATCCTTTTCTGATGATGAGAGAAGTAGATCATCCTCTTACCTTCAATGGGTTTAACAATTTGCAATTTTTCTGGTAGGAGGACACGGAGATTACTAGAGCTGGCAGAGAGATCAGTGAATTCTGAGTTTGTAGCCAGGGAAAAACAGTTTTCTGTCAGTGTGCTACAGCCACTAGCCCCTTCTTCCTGCTCAGCCAGCAGATGCATTTTTCGCTCCCATTCCTCCTCAAAGAACTGCTTCTCACTCAGGTAGTTCTGACGACGAAGGGAGAGCCTGTGCAGAGCTGTGACTAACTCATTGTCTCCAGGGGTTCCTGGCTGGCCAGGATTATGAGTGTCTCTATGAGAAACATCAAATAATAATAGGTATTAAGACCATTAAATTAACTACTTCTCTCTTACACAACAGAGGTCCAGTCTGGATTTAGTCTTGAATGAGTTTTTTTAGAAAGAGGATAACAAGCTGTGTTTCCTACTTCAAATTCTTCTCGGAGCTGCTCCTCTGGGTCATCTGTGTGTGGCTCTCCAACTGGTGTACACCAGACTGGAAGGGCTTTGCAGTCATAACAACACTTGACCGATTAGATCCAGGGATTGGCAACGGGATAGGAAAGGAAGAGGAGCGGCCACGAGTGACATTAGCAACCTTGACAGTGTCAAATACTCGTTTCTGTTGACCCCTGTAGAAAAGACACCCAAACAAATGTGGTTTTCAGAAGCATTTTGAAAAAGATATAATAAAGAAAAAGCTCTGAGCAACAGACTTTCTAAAGTCTGCAGAGGCCCGACTAAAAAGATTTAATGCCAGAAAAATAGGATTGCCTAAGACACCTAAGACACTCGTGTTTTCAGGAGTACTATTCTGTTACATATCAGAATTACCACTTACTTTGACCTGAAAGACCTGAACCTCTATTGATAACCACTTGAGAGCATTCAGGAGCATTTATTTTATTTATTTAATTTATATATGCTTTCAGAAGCGTATATTTAGTTTATTACTTCTTGCTCAGAACTAAGAGATCCAGGAGTTTCCAAAGCTTCAGGGCTTTGGAAACTGTAATCAGTCTTTCAGTTATAATTGAATTTGTCTGAGAATTTTTCTATAAGATTTAAAAAGAGATAAAACTAGTTCTGTGCATCAGAGAATTTTCATGAGAAGTTTGACAAATTAAGTAATGAAATAACATCCATCTAGCGAGTTCCCAACTTCCTCATAGAATCAAATAAGAATAGTAGATTTCAAAGTTGAAAAGATTATATAATACTACAAAGCACTTTTTACCAAGTTATGTAGTAAACTTATTATAGAGGGACTATTCACATTTATAGATTTCCAGAAATCAGTTTCACCTTACTTAATACAAGCATATGGGAAAATACTGAAATAGCACACAGAAATCTCAAAACATACTTTTGCTTGGAGAGAACAGATTCATCACCCTGACTCAATTCCTTCCGCATTGTCCCTTCAATTTCTGCTGCAAGGGAATCCTAGAGAAAAATGGAAATCAGAAGAGTTGGCAAATCAGATTCAAGTCTTCCTCCTAACAATTTTAGCAGAAAACACCTCTAAAGGAATACTCAAAAATCTTCATTCGTTTCCCTGGTATTAGTAGGTTTCAGAGAAGCCCTTCAGTCTCTGAAGGAAGGGCATGAGGCAGAGTTTTCCACCATAGCTACACCTATACATAATCAGCATGGGTTCAGTTTTCATTAGCAGCATCTGCTTTTTCTTGGTACTCTTTATGTTGGTTTCTTAAGCTAAGTTACAATTGTAAAAACACTTCTTACAAGGCGAAACATGTGCATAAGGGATTCTGTCTACACAGAACAACCAACCAAAACCTGACAAATTCGCAGCACAGCCCAGAAATTTTTCAGAATACAGTAATCAGATCATACCTGACACTAATAAAAAAGAAAATAAATGCCTTTAACTGTTTTCCATTGGTTTAGTTATCTCTGGCAATTAGTCTAAGGTCACACACTTCTGATGATGCTTAAAATTTAATCTCACAAGATAAGGACATAAATTACATCATAAACTACATAAAGGAAGAAAAATACTCTTTGAACTCTTGAAAAGATGATTTGTTTCATAAAGAAACACAGTCAAGTTATAAAATTCACATCAATATTGAACAATATACTAGCACAACTGAGCACTAGCTGTAGAACATGCCAATTCCTGTATTTAACACAAAAGGCATATAAAACGGAAAAATTATTTTAGTATCACAGTATGGAAAGTGAATGATTATTTTCGTAACATAAAATTCTCAAAAGTGTACACATCAAAGAACTGCAAAACCATCAGTAACCTTCGCCTACTACAAAACAGTTCCTGCTGCAGCTCCTGTAACAGCTGTTTTACTCATGCAGTTGTATGCTAACACAGGCCACATGTGCCAGCAGGTGTATGCCATGCCAGTGACATTTATTACCACAGGAAATGCTCCACATGACTGGGGGTGGCAGAAACAAGCAACAGAGCTGGCTCTGCTGCGCAGCAACTTCACTTCTTCTTGTGATTCCTGCAACATCCCTAGACACTCTGCATTCCGATCTTGCAACTCATGTAGCTGAAACAAAAAAACCGACATCACATGATACCAGTGAGCTTCACAGAAAAGACAGAATTAAACTGAATTAACTCCTACAGAAACCTGTATCGACTGATTTAAACACTGTAATATTTTTTTCCAACTGCACAGCACATGCCAACATCTGGAATGGACAACGGTCAGCATAGCACCTGCACTAATTTTAGTGGTGAAGCATGAAGTCCAAATTAACACTTGAAAGAGGAAAGCGTATAATAAAATCCAAAGGAAAATACATTGAAAAACTCAGCAAATCCAGTAACTGCTGATGCAAAAGAAGCAAAAAAGAGAACTTCCTTAAAATCTAATGAGCTACATATTGTTGATATAATCAGTAATATTCACACTAAAACACTCTTTCTCGTTAACTACTAAGAATAGTAAGACCTCCCTACCTGGAACACATTCCTTGCCTTTCATATTGCTGTGAACTACAAAATATTTGTGTAGACTTAAATAAAAATAACTATTTTTTTCCTCCAATCAAATTACTCCAACCACAATGAAAAATTAAAAGCCCTACATAATTAAAAAACAATAGTTCCCATTCTCTCTTAGTTTTCTTTCTCTCATATACTATTCTAAACATTTATCTAAATGTATATATATAGGAACTTTAAGTACCTCTGTTGTCAGTTGTCTCTGAGCATCTTTGGAAGCTTGTAAGTGAAGTTTCAGCTCTTCCTTTTCAATCACATGCTGAAAGCACAGAAAGGTGCTCATCATTGTCTCAGCAAATTTCCCTGAGAGAGCCGACCCATGCTTTCCTGAAACAGCCACTCTTTGCCAGTGTAACCCTGTGGCTTGCAAGTGAATTTTTACCTGCTGTAAGCACTGGCACACACACATGCACATATGCACGTACACTTTTTCACCAGCATTCCCTTACTTCTTTGAGTTTATGTTGAAGATCGACAATCTGAGACAAGAGGGATGAGATCTCTTCCTGGTACCGAACCAACTCCTCACTCTTCTCTGACAACTCCTCTGTTATTCTGGAAATTTGAGCATTTGTTTGCCCTACAAAACATAAAAGGAACTTAGGAGAGAGCTTTTCGCAACAGATGACAAAAACCCAAACCAAACCCAAAACTCAGAAAAGATCAGTGAAAGTCAACAACAATCTGCAAAATAACCAATACTTTTAGGAAATCAATTCATAGTACATAAGAGTAGGTGCCTTAGAACATCTATAAGGAAAAAAAAAAAACAAACAGTGGGGAGGAGAGGAGAAAGAGAGTTAACTTCAAATGCAGGTGTAACATATTAACAGTTAAGTACGCAGAACCTGAAATACATATCACAGGTATGTGAAATGACCATAATAAAAAGCATGCCAAGCTGCTATAAACAATTTCAAATGACATAGTGGTTCGTGGCCAAGGCCAGATTTGGAATATGCTGAAGAAGTCAGACTCTGGATTGATCTTGTTATTAACTACCATTCTCTGTAAGCAACGGTATTTTGTCAGACCTTGTCAAGCATAACATACACCTATTTAGCTCTTGATTCTGGTCACTATCTATTCCCCAAAGACACGCTGCATCCAATTTCCAGTTTCTTTTTTTCTTTGAGCAAGCACTTCAAGTAAGATGACAAAGCAACTCAAAAAGCTGAAATATTTTAATGTGGAGTCCTGGCTGGACGAGAGGGGACATAGCTTGGTGCATTGAGCAACCCAGGTTCCGATCCGGAAGTGAGCCTTGGGAGCGGCTGACACGGAACCCTGCTGGGAAGGGAGAGCAACGAGCTCGGAACACTGGAGCAGGGGGAACGTCACTGTTTCCTGCCACACTGTCACTTCCTTCCTGCCACATTGCTGTTTCCTGCCACAGTACTGTTTTCACATCGAGATGCAGCTCTGCACCAATCACAACGAGTTGCAGTAGTTTTGCCTATATATGGATTGGGGGTTTAACCATTCAGATGCTGTAATAGTTTGCTATATAAACCTTGGTTTTGCTGACTAATAAAGGTGAACGATCATACTCATATTGGGGTCACATCGTTACAACGGATCCGTAACCCACGCCAACATTTTAATGCAGTTAGTATTGCTTGTATACTTGCCCTGAAAGCATAGCAAAGTCATAATGAAGTCTCACCAATCTTGCATAAAAGTCACAGTACAAATATAGTGGTTATTATACCTCACATATTTACTGCAGAACAAGGTCGTGCCCATGGGCCTGTGGACATTTAAGCTCACAGTCAGATACCTTTTTCCTGAAGACACAAATTTTAAAGCTGTAGACCAGACATCCTTTGGGAGAAGATTCTTTCTGTGAGTCTAAATTACCTGGCATGCCTATATGTGCTATAGAATTGCACTAAACAGAACTCACAGACATTCTCATTGAAGGAAAACAGGAGAGCTTATATGAAGTAACTTCTATTTGCAAAGCATATATATTTACTCAGAGGGAATGGAGTAAGTTAATGACGAGCTATGGATCAATACATAGTATTTTATGGTCATCTAGAACAAGAAAAATCAAGCAGCAACCCAGTCTTCTTTATAGTGGTTGTATAGAAAAAAATACTCTTAAAATACAAGCTTAAGGTTATTATGCACAAAGGAAGTAGCACGTATCAAATGACCACATATAAAAAATTTGTACCATTGAGTGACACAATAGCCACACACAAAACACACACAAAAAATTGTTCCTTATTGTTTCAGAATACTTACATAAATTTGTATAAGAGTAGCTGCAATTCTATGCAAGTAAGTAGTCCCCAAAGGAAATACTGATGACTGTTCTAGACAAATTAACACACTTCCAATTTAAATGTTTTCATTTATAATACATATTTTAAAAATAATGTGTTCATAAATATATAGTGATTTAGAATGAGCATTTAAGAGTCTGTGTACTGATACATTTCAATGTCATATATGCTGAATACTCTATAAAAGAAGTATATTTTGTTGATTTTCCAGTGTCTGTAGGCTTCAGTTTAGGAGGTTTATGAACGTTAGATTTTGTGTTCATTTTCTTTGTCTAAACACCATACACATACCTGAAATTGAATGCCAGAGTGAAACTTGATGAGATACAGAAACAATTTTGCACTTGGGTAACGAGCAAGACTTCAACTGGCATGTAGTACTGAAGCTCATTTTGGGATTCAGGGCTAACTAAGAAGGTATAGGCACTAGGTATTTCAAATACCATTTTGCCATTGTAAGATACAGCCTGGATACTCACGGAGCTCTTTGACACAGTCATTGACTAGCTGCTGTTCCTTCTCCTCATATGTAATGGTTTCTGTCTTCAGATGGCAAGCCTTCAAGAAAATGAGTGGTATTCCAATATCAGTTTATCTATACATATATTTATCTTAGAAATTTTTACTTCCAAAGTTCTTGCAACTGAAGAGTGTCCCCTCTATTTATCTTTATAATTTCTGTGCATCTGGCCATACTCCCCTAACCATTTTTTTCACCATAACCTGTTTCCCTGAATTGTACAGGTCTTTTGCGTGAGAGGCACACAGACACATGAACAAAACCTGATCTCTCTCATGCCTCTAACAAAAAAATCTTGCAAAAATTATGTGATTTGGCAGGGAAAGTAAACCAACACAGTAATCAGGAATAAGCAATTGAATTTGCTTCAAAACCTCTTAAGGCGAAGAAATCTTGAAAAGTGAATGATGATAACCAAATCTTTTACGGCACTGAAAAGCTCTCAGTAGAACAGCTTTTCTCCATATTCCCCTACTAGTCTATTTAGATTGCATATTTTCCAGGCCAGAGTCCAAGTATCACAACAGATCTAAACAGCATCAAACATACTAGATTCCCACTTCCATTTCAATAGTGAGGATGACAATATTAAACTTTTTACCCAGAAGTCTTCTATATTCAGAACTGTTTGCCAGTAAGTGACTCATGATAAAACTTAGTAAATGGGTCAAAAGATTATCCAAGCAAGCAGAAGCACAGCTACACAAGTGCAGACAAATACACTTCTTTACACAATGCTGTCACATGAAAATTAAAAAAAAAAAGGCGGCAAATACAGGCTCAGTATGATTGAGGCTATTTCAAGTCAGTGAAGGTTATGTTGTATCACAGAATGATTGCAGTTTTAGGAAGGATGTGCATCTCAGGCTGAATATTTTGGAGACTACAAGGGGGGAAATATATTTTTTTCACATCAAAGGAATTTAGTCTCTGTTGTAACAAGCTTACATTAGGAAAGGCTTACATAAAAAAACAAATCAAGAAAACTACACACACCAAACAAAAAAAACCCAAAACAACTTTCTTCCAAACAACCGCACCACTTTTAATCAACTTCCTATTTCACAAGTTCCACTCTCCACCTATGAAGAAGAGAAACTGCATCTGTAGATTCCGATTCTTGTAACATTTGCTGTTGGTTCCATGACTTTTATAGCCATTTATTTTGTCTGGCCATTTAGTCTCTACACTTGTAATGGCACAGTGCCTGTGTTCATGTTTTATACATGACACACCAATTAAAATACAGAGACTAATCACACGGTCAAAACTAAGTGTATCTTTAGAACAATTTGAGTAGAAGCTTATTAACCCTTAATATTGACTACAGGTTGACGAAAATGTAATGTCAACACAACTAAATTCCCAGAATACTACTACTAATTGCAGTCAGATTTATATCAAAACAGGTCGCACAAACTTGAGGGTCTGATGGGTCCAAGTACTTATGCTGGGTGCTTACATATGTTCCTATACTCTTTCACATACTGTAATGGCATTGAGAAAGGACTACTAGAGGACCCTGCAGATAATAAGGAGTAGTGAAGGAAACAGAAGGATGGGGGGGGGCAGGTAGGGGAAAGTGTTTGGGTATGATTTGAGTACAGCAATACAGAACAGTCATATACTTCAAGAGAAACCCAAATGCTGGATTTTTTAACCATCCTGATTTATTTCATATCCAACATACGTGGTATACACTGTAAGTGAGATATACCTTCGATCGGAGGGCAAAGTTCTCCTCTTCCAGCTCCCTGAGTTTATCATGCAAGACATCCAACTGTAACAGATCATGTGAAACACTGAAAGACTCATTGAAACGAAGTGGTGTGGAACAGCTGGAATCTGCTTCACTCTCCTCAGAAGCAATTGAAACAATACGAAGCAGGTCATCTTTCTTTGACAGTTCATGCTGCAGCTGGTTAACCTATGACAAAAGAAGATAAGCTTATATACTGTACTTTAGCTATACAGTATCACAGTGTATTACTTATGCAGCTTCTTGGAACATCACTGCTCCAGTCTAAAATGAGATTAATGAAATAGCTCACAGGTCATGATCAATTTATGTTTTCAAGTAAGATTCTATAAAATAAATAGAGACTGAAAGTTCACAAAATCATAATTTTAACACTGTAAGGGAGGCTATTAAAAAAGTAGTCCATCCTTATGTTATCTTGAATTTTCAGTTTACTTCAAAAAAAATTTGCAGCTGCTTTGATACATGTTTACATTGTAACATGCTAACTATCAATTTGATTATGACCATTTTTCTGAACTGTAACTTCCTGGAGAAAAGGACTGATAGACAGCTACTCTTATGTGTAGACTAGTCCCCCCTAGTTTATACATTAAATGAACCGCAGGACAAATAAAAATGAGTGAAGAGACAGATCTCGCTCAGAAAAATTCTATTTTGCATATGTGTATTTTTATATGAATACATAATTTATGCTGTCATACAGTTAACTATGAGTATGTATTTATTACCAGCATACTGCTTTATACAAGCAGCTGAATCCATTTCGCTGTAACAGACTACATCAGTTGACCTTAGGGTTAAAAGACTTGGGATACTTTATAGGTTGTCAACTACTTAAATCTTTTTTTAAGAAAGAACAACAAAGAAAAGATTAGGTCAAGGATCTGTGCTTAAAGGAATAGATGGAGTGAAGAACTTGAGCAGAATTCAGTTTTCATTACTTTTTTTTTTTTTTAATTTTCTTTTTTTGTAAGCACCCTGTTAAGCCAGCTCATATTCTGGCTGTTTCCTCACCTGTGAAGTTGTTATGTAGCAGGTCATATCAGATACCAGCTACTTATTTTGACTTACATCATTAGATTCTTAGTTTAATGGCAGGATATCAGACTGATGGTCAAAACAAACACTTTGAAAATGCAATCCTGCTGTAGATATATCATAATAATATCTAACGTTCTCATAATTTCTCATTAATTACAATATGCAGTCTTCCTAGCCAATTCTTGGACCGAGAAAGGTGATTGAACTATGACAATTAGAAGAGTAACTTCTAAGTATAATTACGTAGTTTAAGAGCAGCAATCACCTCCTTTCACAATGAAAGAATATATTTCCATTAATCCTCTTCCCATCATCATGAAAAGAAAAAGGGCGGGGGGGGGAATCACTCACCCGATCTAGAGTTTGTCCTAACTGTTCTTCTAGTGCTTCATTCTGTTCTGTCAACCGATGGTTTCGCTTAAGCAGGGCTTGTCCAATTCGAGCTGCCAGTTCCAGGTCCCGATCTTTCTGATCACAAAATGAGAATAAATGTCTACTTTTGACCAGATAAGGTTTAAATTCAGAGTAGTTTTAGATTTTCCTAGCTATTGTTTAATGCATCACCACTTCAACATCCCCCTTCACTCTGAAATGGATCAACACTGTTAGAACAATGATTAATCCTTCATCATTTGGATCCAGAACGCATCTGTAACTGTGTTTCTTGATATAGCACATTCTCTTCCACAGTCATTTGCAGTAACGGGGTGAGGGGAAAAGCACCAAACCTGGGGACAGTTTTTGTGTTTGTGCTGAGTACTGAAGAAGTTATATGGGCTCTGCTGAATCACACAAAGAAGCTGCATATGCTTAGGCCTGTGGTCTTTCAAGTGACACTTTCTCCAAAATAGACTGCTTACCTCGAATAGTGATGAGAGGGTAGAAGCAAAGGAGCAACAAGAAAGCAGAAGAAAGCTTACACCTCACTGGCTCCCATGGGTGCCCACGGTTTTGCTAAATTTTGTTTCTGAGACAGTGTAACCCAATATGCAGCTTTTCATTACCCATGTGTTTGATAAGCAGCTCCTGAAGATAACTGAACCAAAATTTCCAGTAGCTGAATAAAACCCTTCCTCAAATACAAGTCCTCAAATACATTAACATAGTTTTACAGAGATGGGCATACCTCAGCTAACAGATGTTTGACCATGTCAGCATCACTGTAGGTTTTCTGCTCCACATTATCTGTGCCAAGAACCAAGAAGAGAAAAAACATACTTACTGAAGTAGCTTAAGTACAAGAAGACTGCTGGGAAGGGAGAGTGCTAAAACTCAGAGGATGTTGTTTATATACAAATACAGTACTTAGTTGATGAAACCAGCAGAGACTATGAAAACGCATCTTAACTTCATAAATATGAAACAATACTCTTTTGGGAGACTGACACAATGAGGTACCGAACATTTACAGCTTTCAGCTATATTAGCTAAAACTTGAGGTGCTCACACATCCTTCAAATTTAGAAAAAGGAGAGAAATCTCTTAAGATCAACTTTTTGAATACAGCTAAGCTATGAAACCATCCAGCCTGCTGGGGAGAGAGGGAAGAGCATATTGGAGCATATCCAAGCATTGCTGAACACATCTGCAGACTTTACCCTTGAAACAAAATTCTCATTAGTGTGCGTGACAGCTATACACAGAAAGTATGGAGACCCCAGAGACCAGTCTTGAAAACGTATTTATTAAGTGCTTGATCATCTTAGAAACAGTTAAAAAGAAATGGGATAACGTATGTCTGCAATTAAGATGTAGCAGTAAATCCTTTCTTACTGATTGAGTGACTTTACAAACACTTCGTAAAGCTATTAAAAAAACTGAGAACAAGTTGGATTTGAAAAACAGGACTGAGTCAAAAATAAACATAGCATGAAGAATTTGCTACAACTCAGAAAAAAAACCAGTGCTAAAACAGAAAGCGCTGGTCTGCTCTAGTTCTTGTCCTGAGAAATAGAAGATGCTAGTAAAGACGAAATCGTAATTACCTTGAGTAAATTTGTGAGATCCAGCCAAGGAGGAGGAAGGAAGTTCAATAAGAGCTAGAGTGATAGAAAATGAAAGATACGCGGGGGAGAGGAAAGAACGAAGAGGAGAAAGAATTAAAATGTAAGGAAACAGGCGATTTATTCGCATGCATCTGCCACCACCTAAAAATAAATGCACGCATAAACACACATTTTACACTATTAAAACTTTCTTAGAACTTTAAAAGAACCACTTCAATATGATTCACTTCAGGAGCAGAATTACACATCTCGCTGGTGATGGATGTTTGTGCTTGTTCAAGTTTAACAGAAATTTGCTATTTTTGCTTCATGGAATCTGGATCATGAAAGCAAAGAATACAGCAATATAAATTTAACAAATATAGAAGTATGTGCTTCAACTGAAGGTCTAAGTTAACCTGTTTTGAAATTGTTTCCATCATCACTGCACTGCAAAATGAGATTACTATGGATTTGGTCTAAATCTATTTCTGAAGATTTCCTTGACTCTTCTACCTTGTTTAAATCTGATTCATAGTCTGAACACATAGTGGTATTGGTTGTCAGTTTTCTTCTTTATTTTTTGTTGAGGACTGCACACTTAATTATAAGACAGTGAAGTGCCAAACTGAAGTGCACACTAACTTTATTTACGTAAGCTATGTATGTCCTTCACATACATAATATCCATAATTAACTTTTCAAAACATAACCCTAAGGCTATGCCAAGAACAAAACCAAGCTGCTTTTCAGTACAGAAAAAAAAAAAAAAAACTTTCCTGCAGTCTTGAAAAATAGCAGAACAGAAAGAACAATATAGAAGAAAAATGTTTACTAAACTGTTTCTCTTAGAGCTTATACAGAAGGATAAATCAAACTAATAAATCAAATGCTTTTTATCAAGTAGATATAGTAGGTGTAAAAACCCAACACATGCTGTTCAAGCATTTAGGAGCTTTGAACTTACAGTAGTGCCATTTACTCATTGTATTTCTGAGCAAGGCAAAAATAAAAGTTCCTCATTAAATTTAAAGTACCTATCTCCTGGTAGCATAACACGCATTTGGGAGATCAAGTTTACTGTACTGCTTGGTTGCTGATACTGGCTGCCAAGAGGGGACCCCAAACTCATCTGGCTTACTAGTATTTGGAAAATTCACTGCACATACATAAGTAAGTTTCAGCCATTACAAGCAGAGTATTATAGCCAGCTCTCCTGTGGTAACTATTCCTACCAGGTAATTTCAAGTTCAAACTCTCTACTCAGTACTAAGTCACTTTCATAAAAATTGAAACTAATTACATACAAGGTTACTCAGGTAGTAGGTTTCTAAAATCAAAAGCAAATATATTTACTCTGATAAATGAAATCACAGAACTAACAGCTTTGAAACTTAGCTCTATACAACTTTTGTTATTTTCTCACAGTACAGGACCAAAACTACACATAGTTTGTTATAATTCTCTCTTATGAACATGCACAAACTCCCCTCACTCACCTTGCCAAGTGAAAGCTGCAAGCACCTTTTCATTTTGGTTAATATTCTTGTTATTTTGTTCCATGTCCCTTTATTGACATAAACAAAGTAGGTCTGAAGACAGATGTTCTGTAATTCAGGGCTTCATATGCTACCACAGTTGAAGCAGAAAATAATTCTTCCAGCTCACTGAAAACACTCTGTGGGAACTCAACTTGTCATTGGATAAACCTTCTAATAGGCAGCAGCAGCCATAAAAAGAGGAGGAGCTCAAGTGCAATAACTGTTGTTTTGGTTTGTTTTTTTTTTTTACCTTGGATGCCCACTACAAATTCACTTGAACTGTGAGTTTTAGGAAAAAGTTATCAAAATGTTTCCATACATATATAGGGAGGGGGAGATATACACATAAAAAACACAGGTTGTGCTTCAAGAGTATGACTGTCAAATTTATTCCCAATTCCATTCAACAGAAGAAAGATACATAATTCACCTAACAAGCTATTCAGCAATGATTATAACTAGATTTATATCTGTATTTGTCTGTGACCTTCCCAATATCTCCCTTTAAGTTATAAGGCTCAAAAAGGCTAATATGATAACTAATACATTCAATCTCTTTGGACAATTTCTAGGAGAAACATAAACCATATTTATCTTGAGTTTATATGACTCAGCAGTTACAACAGTGTTCTTAAATGATAGAATTAGTTTTATATGTGATGCCTAACAGTTATCTTTTAGCTTAAGGTCAGTTATTGTTACAGCTCATTTTTGAGAATGTCAAGAAAACATCAATGGCAACTGTTCCAAAAAACTCTTCACAAGCAGTTTACTATTTTCACAGGACACTTTCTTTAGCTAAAAAGAACTTCTCACTGGGTGAAAGAGGAAGACACCACTTTCTGTAGTACCTTCACAGCCAAATAATCCATGACAAAAACATTTTTGCTAGAACCCCTTCCTCTCACTGCAGTTTGGAAATGCAGGCTCACACTGACTGAAGCTCCTTCTCTCAGAGGTCTGTGCTTCATCACACTGGAACTGCAGGTGCTGAGCGGAGAGCCTGAGCAGAGCCACATTTGATGCAAAGTTCCTTCCAGCACTGACAGACTCTGATCCCACCTCTTTATAATTAAAACTTAAGAGTTAAGCACACACCCCACTGACTACACAACTGCTTTCAGTAACTACAAAAGTGTTCACTCAACTAAAAGATCACTTATGCTTGCAATATTATTATCAGAAACAGACCGAGCAATAAACATTAAACAGCTTTCCAAATAATTTCCACAGTTACAAAGAGTTCCAAGTCTGCAAGTTCAACTGATAGCAAGGTTGCTTTACATTGTTGAGTACTGCATTCTTAGGAGGTAATATTTCACTTTTACTTACTCATTTGCTATACACACTGGGTGGAGGCTTAAAGCACAAACAACATCAAAAAAACCCTTCAGAGGTGGCCTGTGCAAGGAAGAGGTAATCATCATAGACTGTCTACAAATACCAGGGTTGTATATAAATACCAAGTTCACTCTCCCAAGTGGTTTGTTCCCATAGTTTCAGCATATGGAGGAAACAGGACTTCCCCATTTCTCTAAAGTGATTACAATGCATTCTCCTCTCTTCACATGAAAACACTTGAAACTACAGATAAGTAAGTGTTCAGATCTTTTGGCAGTCTTCTATAGATCTGATTTTTAAAATATTAACAGTTTCTTCATGTGATTGGAAGCTGTCCATTTTCTTCCTTATGATCTGCTAGGTTTAAGGATAGGTGACTTCGTATTTTCAGAACTGGAAGGCAGTGATCAACACCGATCTAGCACCAACCTCTCTGGCATTCACACCATTATCTCCAGAAGAAACCATTAACAGCATTTCAAAAGCAACACTAACACAAAACATCAGGGCAAACATCATCAAAAGAGCCACAGCATCATTAACGTTCCTGAAAAGAGAGCTGCTGCACACTCCATACCTCTCATATTACATCTAATCTAGCACAATTATAGGTTCCTTTCACTGTCACATGTTCCCACTCTTACTTCTATGTGAAATCTAATGATCAGGCAGCCATGGGATGTGCTAGGCCTGTAGAAATGCAATGCTGAACTACAAGCACTTCCCCTGAATTCAGCTTTTTCTTTCACTTGTCCAAAGTTTTCCAGATTTTATTCCTAATATTAATAATATTAATTTTATATTTACAGTTTTCTCTTCAATAAATGAAAAAAAAAAATCCTAGGCCCAGGTATACTCACTCATGTAGCGGAAAGGCTCCTCATCATGAGCTGGAGAAGTGATGTCAGGAAGATGGCCATGGCAGGCAGGAGACTGAATCCAGTCTTGATTTTCATACAGATACAAAGAGTCCACTCGTAATTTGTAATCTGGCAACTGTTCTTCTAGCATGCTCACCAACTCTACCTCAGGAAGGTCCTCACTGGAGCAGGTATCTGAAAGTAAGTAAATGCCAGTAATAGCACATTATATTTAATGTTGCTACAGCAGTATACATTCTATATACTATAAAATACTTCATAAACCTTCAGTAGATTTGAAAAAAATTATTCTGTACTGGCCAAATTACCAGAATACTGATTGAATCAATACTTGATCTACACTGTAATATTTGTATTACTAGTCCACAACATCCTGGAAAGCTGGTCTAGCCATGATTCCCTCTGACTTCTTGAATATGGTATATGTAATGAGTTTCAGTTTCTGTCTTTTCCTGCTCACTGAACTAAAACACATACCTACATTTTACCAGCTATTGATTTTGTAAGGTTTCATTGGCTTTAGCATAGTTATACTTCCCTTTTCTGAAGGAAATCCACATTTTTCTTGTTCTTCTGTTCATCCTTTGGTTTGGTAATGAACATAGACATAAATAATCTTAAAGCAACTACAAAAATAAACGGAATACTGCCTTGAAATCAGGGAACAAATACAAATACAAAATTCCATTATCATTCATATGGAATCATGCTCTGAGAAACACAATACTCAAAATCCTGGAAAGGAAGTTTAGCTCTTCCTGTGTTGTGTGGGTGTCCCACTCCCCCCCTCCCCCCCCGCAAACTATTCACAATTATTGCAAAAAAAAGAAACATGAATTCTAAGTTGCTAAAATACTGCACATCAGATGCGTATGATGATTATCTTTCCAACATTTCCACTAAAGATGAAGACTATCTTCAATATCTTTCAATGGAAAAAACGCCAATGTTGATTATTGACACTAAGAATCTTACAAACAACATTTTACAAAGGAAGCTGATTTTACAAGTTGGTTAAGAGGACTCCCCATTTTTCTTCATTTCCAATATCAGATACAAAGAATGCGAAACTGAAGGTTGTTTTCAGGTTGGTGTTCTATAACATGTTAGACACATTCAGGATTTGTAACAGTTTATTCTTCAACTTACCAGAGGCTCTCTCCAAGCCCCTGTGATCAAAACTCATGAGTCTGTCCTTCACAGTTCACTTCTTTGGAAATAGCATTCTGTAGTCAGATTGTGCCTTGTCCCCTTATTGCTTTGGTAGAAAGACGGCTTTGGTTTGGAGACAGAGTAAGAGAAAGCAACAAAGGCTCTAAAAAATCTGGCATCAACTCACTTCTGTAGACTGGTTCATACTGCAAATCTATTGCCATTTTAGGACATGCTTATTTCATCTGGGCTACCACTGATCAGTAGAAGTATCTATACAATATTTCATGGAAGCTTCATGAGCTGCTCAGCTCAGCCATCATCTAGAAATAAAACAGAGAGATTGCCAAATTTTAACAGATGTCACTCTTTCCAATGAGACAGGTAAACTAATGTGACTTTAATGTGTTTTTTAAATGGATTGCTGAAAAGCATTAACTACACACACATACATCTAAAACAACTCAGTACAGCAGAAGACAACACTTCAGAAGACTGCTGTACATCCACACAGCCAAGATGATTTTATCTTGTAATAAAAAGAGTCATTGTAGAGTGAGACAAAATTCAGCAGCATAGGACAGTTTCTTCACAACTCTGTTGAGTTTTAATAATGTAAAGATGAATGCTACTTCCTCTCAAGATTGGATTTAATCTCTCTTGTAAGTAGTGCAAAGCAGAAACACTATTTGTTGCAGGTCAATCTCAGTTCAGCCAGAGGAAAAAAAAAAAAGAAGAAAAAGAAAAAACCCATTTGGCTCAAAGTTTTCTAGAGCACCAGGCCAACATCAAGCTATTGAATTGAAAGGGCAATCTCATTTGTAAAACCTTTGAGAAGTTTGCTAGATAAGAAAACACCATAAAAGTTAATGGTCACATTTCAATGCTTCTCATAGCTTTAGTTTAGTGGGCCATGGGGCAACTTCTCTGGAAAAACCACCAGCTAAAGCACCATGCAGTACCACCCTGAAAGTGACCCCATGACCCTTTTACTCTGCAGCTATAAAACTGTTCCCTAAGTGCAGATTCCTTCTGCAAGTTACAACTATAATTAAATACATTTGGACAAAACCATAAAATTAATAACATGGCTTTAAAATATATCACCATACTATAAAAATATGGTCTAGAAATTAAAATTGTTAAATCATGCAGACAGACACGCACAAAACAGAAGCCAGAAAACTTAATCGGGTATTATTTTTAATCTGTATTTGTAAATATTATTTCCACTGTCAATTTACTATATTCATTCCACACAGATGTACTTCTTATCAGGTTTGTCCCCCTACTCCCTCATATGCCAATTTCCCATTGATGTTTGAGTTTTTCACAAACAGGTTAATTGAACATGGAAAACAAACAAGAATAATTCAAATATTGGAGAATGGCCTATATGCAGGAGTGGTGCTTTCAAAAGACTTTCTTCAAGGCAGGCTCAACAGAAATAGAAATATCAGACAGCATTTTATATACATACATATCTATCTCAATCTGTGTATTTCTGTGCTCTCTAAATTAAATTTTGCTCCACGATGTGTGTTTCACATTTCAACTATCATGCGGCTTGAAACGGTAAGCTAAAACTAGGAGTACCTACAGCATGCTTACAAAAAAGACCTCTTGAAGAAGTCAGAACTAGTCCTAGGCCTTTTGCATCCGCCCCACAGAATCCAAGTTGCTCTGAGGTTTGCTAGATCATCTGTGCACAGGAAATGGAAAAGAAGCTCAAAAAGAAAGGCAATGCTATGACCCATTCATACCAAGAAGTATTTAAAAATTGTGGAGGACTACCACTTATGACCCAAGCAACAGTCTTACTGTTCACCAGTGTTACAACAAGAGCTGAAAAAATTGCCAATGAAAACTGTACAAAAATTAAAGCATAAGCAACAAACAAAAAAAAAAAAAAAAAAAAAGCTGGAAAAATATGTTAAAAGCATTACGAGAAATACACATCAGTTGTCTACTAAGTGGTAAGATGTCATAGTGTGTAAGTTAAAAAAAGAAAAACTGAAAGAATAGGAATCACATATTCCATTAAACCACCAATATTTCAATGTATGGTTTGATCTTGGTAGCAAAGAGACAAAAATTAGTTTTGCTGACCACATGACAGGAGGTTTATTAATTACTCCTTCAATGAGGCAAAAGGTCTCAGCCAAGATTAACTTGCAAAGCAATACTGAATAAAGCCTTAGAAAAGCTGAAATAGTTGTAAAATATTTAAAATTATTCTTATATTTGTAACTACCGCTTTGAACAATTTTGAATGGATGCAAAAAGACAATTCTGTCATCTTATTTCAGAATGTAATTCTGAAGACATTCTACCACTAGAGAATTCTAATTAAAATTGAAATTATCAGAAAGGTTAGATGAGTTGCTTTTACAACTGGAAACCATAGACAAACAAATGTACGTGTTTATTTATGCATAAAAAGTTAAAAATATATCCAAAATACTGGCATCTATTTTGATAACATCCAAACTCAAACATAAATATCCTGTTAATCCTGCTGTTTTCCATTTGTTGAAAGCAGCTGACTCCTCACAAGCACTTGAAAAGACTAAACTACATCTGCTCCTCAGTACAATTCCTGGGTGCGAGACCAGGAATTGTACAAGAGCCACAACTGTGCAAGGCCACAACTAAAACAAAATTACAATACAAAGAAGATTCTAACTTGATTAAGAGAGAAGGTAACAGCCATTTTCCAAAAGGAAGCCAACTGAACAAGTCAACTACTCTGCGATGCCGAATTTTACTGCTATGTAAATATGTAATTTAAAAAAAAGTATCAAGTCATTAACACAGTAGTTTTTTCATTACTAAAACTGCAATGGTGTCAAACCAGCTAATAATAAAAAACATATTTTGCATTTCAAGGTTAATGAAACAGTTCTATTCTTACAGCAAACATGACCATGCTTAATTGCTGCCAAAACATTCCTGAGACTAGCGCTCAGAGGCAGAGGCCAAACTCTTCAACACTATATAGTGTGAGATGAAGGACAAACGACTATATATTGAAAAAGAAATCTATGTGAACATGAACTTCATCAATCACAATTAATATTTGGTGGCTAACACCTGTTACTTTCAGCCATTACTATCCCTACAGAAACCTACTTAGTGCTTGTGTTTCTCTAATGTAAGGAAAAAAGAAATCTTTTAAAAGAGTACACCGATACATAATCCTAATAACAAGTGTAATAATCACAAGCAAACCTGCAACAGACCTTCAACCATAAATGGTATGGTATGGTACAAGAACGGAACTGTAAGAAAACAAAACAAAAACACCTCTACCCCACCCCTATCTCCTGGATTGTTTTTAATATGTGGTGGGAATACAGGCTCAGAGGGGAAGCTGGAGAGCACCTCAGAAGATGCTGACTATCAAGGAAGGTGTGAAGCTGGCCACAGCTGGTTCCCTCATCCTTTTTAACCAGTTATGCCAAGCCAGACTCGCTTTTTCTCCTTGTCAGTGATTTGTAATAATCCATATTCTCCATAAGTGGCAGTTACCTGTTAAGTACATGTATATATGCTTTATGTATATGTATACACATATACTGTTGAATACCACAGTTCACAGTAACATTTTTTTTTTAAGTCCTACATACTTGGAGGTTGTCTGCATCATCCTTAGCACACAATGTAGAAATAGCATATACTTAACTGAAGTCTAACTTTGTCCGAAACTATGAATGCTACCTACATGACATACCCGTAACAAGTTTTATTAATTCCTAATTCTTTTCCGTAAATGCACAATCATAACATTATTATGTGTATACACTATTTCTTGCAGGTTTTCTTCTTGCAGAAGAAAAAAGTCTACCTGCAAGACACAATGTATGCACATCATAATGTTATGGTCACAAGGGAACCAATCTCTTTTTTCAGAGAATAAAAAGAACTGTCATGAATTCAGTATCTATTTGTTAGCACAAAAATGCAATATATGCTCTTGAGGCAAGTGCTGTGCTAATATTTCATTATAAGTGTTGTTGGAGGCTTCTTTTAAAATTGAAGCTTGATCTCTACAAAGTATTCTTGAAGTGAACTTAAATAGCATTTAACTGAAATCACTAATGCATAGCTGAGTTCACGCAAGGAAGTGGTTTAAGTTCCTTAATATATACCCCAGCCAGTGCTCAGCATTAAGTTACAATTTAGTAGTTATTAGAATACACCAGACTGATCTATATGACTCAGTCACCAGAGTATCACTAGCAATCTAACTAGATAAGAGGATCTGTCTCTTTTGTCACCATTTCCGTGAAAATGTTATTTTTGCATCTTCTTGGAAACCTAATCAATGAATCACATTTATCCTTCCTAAAAGACAGCCCTCCTACTGCACAATATCCATCCCAGCAAGCCCTCTATGGGAGGCAAATCACCACATCGCAAGTCTGTCATTTTCCAACACTACTACTTCCAACACTCTTTAAGTCATATTTTCAGATACTCATAACAGAAATTTGATAAATTGATACACTTCTAACAGATGACACCTTGACTAGAGAGTTAACAAATTTCAGGTATTGGAAATTAATTTTTTTTTTTCGATTTAGCTTCAGTGTTAGAAGTGTAATTAAAAAGAAGTCTACCTAGTTTTACTCAGAAATACATCTTTTGAAAGATAACAAGTATCTGAAAGCAAATCTAAAACTGACTATGTTGCCTTTTAATGTTGTGTGAAAAGTTATTTACTAGTATATTAAGTACTTCCATCAGACTCTCACAATCAGTCAACAATAACTCTGAAACATAACCAAAAAACAAGCATGTATGCAACAGCCTACAGAATGAAGACTGCGTTAAAAAAAAATAAACACAAGGATGCAAATCCACATAGCACTTTTCCACTAGGATGGCTGACAGAATAAGACATTTACTGACAGATACTCTTACCACAGTTTAATCAGCTGATCAGAACGTAACAATGTGATTAAAAAGCTGACAGAAGCCAAAATCTCGTTGCCCTCAAATCCGTACATAAGCAGGACCACAACTAAAATGTCGTCAAGCTTTAGCTGCTAAGAGCAGTGGCGGACACCTCCAAGGCGAGCCCATACTATGACGGGTACTTCTAAGGCAGGCAGGAACTCCCGCGCACGCTGAAGGTCACAGCGGCCACCACGCCTGCAGTCGCAGCCAGAGCGTTTGACTGCAGCCTAAGCACGCAAACGGAGCGGATAACGGTTAACACAACCTCTGTCTACGTTACCACAGCGAAAAGAGTTCAGTCAGCTGCAACACAAGAAGGGAAGAGGAACCCGCTATGTGCCTCCGCTCCCCGGAGGGCCTGCCCAGCGCCGCACGGCGCGGGACACCGCCTCACGCTCGGACCCCGCGCTCCAGCGCCAGCCAGCAGCACGGAAGCCGCCGGCTGACCACCACAGCC